AATATTGAAAAGGCTACTCTGTGAGAAACTCACTCTTTAACATTATCTTGAATGTTAAAGCAATAAGAAATATTGAAAAGGCTACTCTGTGAGAAACTCATCTGATGTTGATTTTTACACCAGCACGAAATCACTGATAATTGCTGCTCTAATGCGAATTTGAACTAACAGTACGGCTTGTGATTTTACCCTTATTTATTGACAGATTCCCACCCCCATGTTGGGTGGAGTTTGAGTCAAATTTTCCCCAGATTCTTCGCGTAGGGAGGAGCTTGTAATAAGCTCAAGCCCTGAGTTCTACGAATTTGAGAAAGTTCTCGTTGGGCGGTAGAACGACGTACTTGAATAGGATGATCGGAATTTGGGTCAGCTTTTGTACATAAAATCTTCCTTTTAAAACTGACGGGCGATGCCCTTGAAACGGTCCCCAGTAGTTCCGCATGATATCCTACCGCTACTGTACATGTCAACCTTTATCTGCACGGCTTCTATGTCCACTTTGGTGGTCGTTTAGGATTTATTGGTTTCGTTATTTACTTACGTCTTACATATATATTAAATAATTTTATAATGTTCTAATTGCACGTTTCATTCAATACTCAAACTTGATGTTGGTGCCTGTTCATTTGCTGAGCATCGCTCGAAAGCTGTTTATTTTCATTTGTAGGTTGTTTTCGATCTAAAACGCCCATTCTTTGAATTTGTATCTATTAAATGGCACAATCGTCGATATCCTACACTCTAAAATGTTGCGAGAGTAACGGCTTTATGCATATTTCTTTAATTGAGAAACTAATGGATTTACCCATCATTTTTAGAACAAATGCGTTTTGTTCCAATTTATTTGTTTTACTTTTTGAATCATGATTTCAGTCCAATCGTCTGATATAGCAATTATTGCTTAAGCACGTGTTCTTGCGTCTTTCGTGAACTGATTGTAGCAGTTAAATCTGTGGGCATAATTTGTCAGATTCGTTCCTGCTTTTGGATTGGGCTTTTGT